GCCAGTCTCTGTGGCCGGCATCTTCAGAGGACAGCACTCTGTGCTCTGGTGTAGTTGGCTTGAAACGTTAGGAAGAACAACCTTCAGAACACGGCCAAAGAGCCCAAAAAACCCACAACAACCATTAGATCCCGGCCATGAAAGCTTTCGCGAATACAACAAGGTTTAAGCTTCATAGCTTATCATGTGAAAGGGCTCATTCTCAAAGCAGTCCTACCTCTGCTACTGATGCTTCTGCAAAAATAAGCACAACACAACAAGGTACAAATATCACACCAACAAAGTAGAAAAGCTAGAAAATGAATATATAAGACCAGATTCCAGATAGAACAGAAACAGAAGGAAAACTAGGGAGTCTGGATATCTGGCCAGTTATCTCTCTGTCTGCCAAGAAGAGGGGGCAGGAATTGCAAAGCTGTGGGTCACATGCACTGGGGGGGATGGTGGCTGTGTGTTGTGTTCCTTTTGGGCTCTAATCCATGGGGAGGGGGGGATCGGCCCCATCAGATGCTTACAAGGGGTGCAATTCTATATTTAAATGCTGTCCCTCCTCCCTAAAGCCCAAAATAGCTTGCCTGCCCCCCCAAAAACAAAAAAGGATGGAAAACGCCACTGCAATTCTTCTGTGATTGAAAAGAGAGTAGTAGAGAAGCCCCTTTCTGAAGATTTTCTCAGGGCTGGACCAGAGGCGAAATATACACCCATCCATCCCATGATCTCTGGAAGAGCATCCCAAGCATTATGGGATGTATCGGAACCTCATCTGGAACGCCAGATAAAGGCCACGAACGGCACCAGCTGGACCACGAACGGCACCTTCTACCTGCCCCTCTCAGGGGACAGACCTGTCCCACTCGAGAAGCCACGCTGGAACATGGGGTTGCTGATCCAAAGCCTGGGGAGGGGCGGTGGGCGGACTGCAGCTCCCCACCCCTACTTTACATGCTTTCCCGTCTCTCTCAGCACCTCAATAATGCCTTGCAAGCTGCTTTAGGTCACACCACTTCCTAGTCTGAGCATGGGCTTTGTAGTAATTCTTTACAGAATGTGAATGGGATTGTAGTCATCGATAATTTCTGAAAGCCCCCATCTTCCGGGGGTGAAGGATTATTTTGTTGTAGGTCCTCCTCCTGCTGCTTGCCTTCTGGTGGTCAGTAGAAGTGTTTTGAGGTCGTGTTAGGGCAACACCTTGCCTCGGATAGCAGAGAAATGAGGATCTCCCCATAATTCTTCCTTGTTTTGCTCTTGGTCAGGGGTTCTCCCCTCTCTCTCTCCCACCCCAAGCTGGTTTTACACCCGAGATCTCCTGAGTGATCACAGCAGCCCTTGCAAGATGAGCTGAATGTATAGGTTGGGGGTTTTCCCCTCCTTCTTTCCAGTGACTCTCCTCGTGCTTTCCTGAGGGGCCTTTCATGGACCCGGTTTTCAGAGGGAAGACGCCAGAGCTGTTCATGGCTGCTGGTTATGTGTGTGTGTTTGTGGGGACCATCACCCTGTGTCATGTGGAGACCAGTGACCTGCTCAGGTTGTGCCTCGTAGACTCATGTAAAAGTGTTGGGCTGGAAGGATCCCCAAGGGATTTGAAGCCTTAGAAAAGGGTGCTGTGAGAAAGGACCGTACATGATGAAGTATCTCCTTGGCTCTATGGGTCTCTGTCATAATTTTTGAATACAACCCCAAAATTATCTGCATTACACAGGTCTAATTCTGCATGTTGTAATCCACAGACATAAATCTCTAAACCCCTAGATTTCACCCTCTCACACACAGAGAAAACAGCTTTTGGATTCTTAACCTCCAAGACTACTCTTAGCCACCTTCTCCAACCTTTGCCTTCTGTTGTTAATGTTTTGAAGACGGATGCTGCCATCTTCTTCTTCATAGGAGTTGTTGTTCTTTGGGAGGTGCCCTCCATAGAGTGTAATTGGCAGCAAAACTGTGACTCCCAGTGTCCTTTGTACCCAAGAGGTAAACTACATTATTTCACCTTGGCATTCTTGCCCTTTATGGATATGAACATTTCTCAGAGTGTGTCTAGACAAGGAGGCCGCCCGCAGCTTGTATTTGGTCGATGTAAAGTTTCCTATGGCACCCAATTGAATGTTATCATTCACACAGAATGTGGAATTATCTCAGGCAATGTTTAGGGCAAAAGGATAGGCCACACTTCAAAGTACATGATGAAGTATCTCCTTGGCTCTATCATAATTTTTGAATACAACCCCCAAATTATCTACATCACACAGGTATTATTCTGCGTATTGTTATCCACAGACATAAATCTCTAAACCCAAAAAAATAAGTTTCCAACAAGTGACATAGTGCTGAATGGATACTACAACTTGTGAAACTGTAGTGCTTACTTGGAGAAATGCTAATTGGAAAATATAATTTTCTACTCTTAGCCACCTTCTCCAACCTTTGCCTTCTGTTGTTAATGTTTTGAAGACGGATGCTGCCATCTTCTTCGTGGGAGTTGTTGTTCTTTGGGAGGTGCCCTCCACAGAGTGTAATTGGCAGCAAAACTGTGACCCCCAGTGTCCTTTGTACCCAGGAGGTAAACTACATTATTTCACCTTGTCATTCTTGCCCTTTATGGATATGAACATTTCTCAGAGTGTGTCTAGACAAGGAGGCTGCCCGCAGCTTGAATTTGGTCGATGTAAAGTTTCCTATGACACCTAACAGACTGTTATCATTCACACAGAATGTTGAATTATCTCAGGCAATGTTTAGGGCAAAAGTATAGGCCACACTTCAAATTGCTTCATTTCTCACCAGGATCATAGATTGATGGCTCTCCTCTGTCTTTAACACCCCTTTCTTCCTCATTTCCTTTTAAAAAAAATAAGTTTCCAACAAGTGACATAGCGCTGAATGGATACTAAAACTTCTGAAACTGCAGTGCATATTTGGAAAAATGCTAATTGGAAAATATAATTTAAAAAACTGTTTGGAGGAAATACAAGAGATACTATTTGATGGGAGTCATCGCCCTGCAAAGGCATAACACCTCCCCTTGAAAGGTAGGGCAGTACAGCCAGAGCATCCTGCTTAATGCTCATCCAGTTTAGCTCAATGTCAAATAAGCACGACAGTTTCACAAGTTGTATCAATGCAGCGCTATGTCAATGGCCAACTTTTTCTTCGATGCCCAGCTCTCAGTGTTGTCCTAGGAGACACCCACGAATGCTCCTTTGGACTGACACGGGCGATGACGTACGCCAAAACCTGGAGAAAAAAAACACAAAGCAAGCAGAATTGCTACAGAAAAACACGAACATATAAACACTAGCCCCTGCCAGCTGAATCAAAAGTTACAAATACCTGTGGGAAAAGTCCACGTTGAGTCCCAATTAGCTGTACATTGCGAAATCATATGGGGTTGTAATTTTTAACTGTAATTTTAATATTAATTTGTAAACCACGCAGAGTAGTGTTTTCACTAAAAGAGCAGGCAAGCAAGCAAGCAAGCAAGCCAACAGAAAATACATTGAATTAAACCATTCCAACTTCAGCACAAACTAGTCGCGCCTTCTGTCTTCTTTTCACTACTTGACTGATTTCACTTGCATGTTGTCTACATTTGGTTTGTGGGGGGCGGTTTCACATGGAAATTTGTAGATCTTATTACATGCCCTTTTAAACATGTTGCTTCATAGTGTGTCAACATTGGAGGCATTCAAGAGAACTTTAGACAACCCTCTGCCCGATCTGCTTTGATGTGAATTGCTGCCGTGAGCACGGGGTTGGACCTGATGGCCTTATGGGCTCCTTCCAACTCCATGATTCTATACCTATTCTTGTACGCTTAGCCCCATTCACTAAGGTACGTTTTCATGCATTTTTGAAAAACATACATTTTGAGTTTTGTACATTTCTTTGTTTATGATTCAGAAAGGATGATAGGAACAAAACGAGCGGGTGCTTGTGACAGGAAACGGTGGCCTGTGATAGGAAACTGAAATATATGTGCACGCTTTCACGAATGCTCTCACACATCAGGATGTGAAGAAATTAATTTCAGATTCGATTAATGGGTAATATATTCTCTCACCCTGCCCCAGTTTACAACCACGAGGAAAAGAAAACACTATTTTACTTTCAGATTTTTTAAAAAATCACTTGCTGGCTGCTCCATAAAATAACACCTTTCAAATGGTAAGAGTTTAATCACCACAGAGAGGAATTTCATGACACCCAGTAATGACTTGGTACTTTTTTAATGGAGTGAGCCCAGACGTTCTGCTGAGGGCTTACTGATTAAGTACCGAGTAACCAAGTAATGGGAGATCAACAGACAACTCTATGAGGTGTCCCTTAGCTAAGAAGAAAGAGGAGACTCCATGCCATCATCCTTAAGTCTACGTGGCCCACGAATCCAAAAATACGTCATCAAAATATTCTTATTTCTCTTATCAGCCTCGCTTTTTTCTTCGGCTGATGAGATTGTCGTCCCACTGCTATCAAGACTCATGAAACGGCTGCAGGAGGCGAACGAGCAGTTCTGGAGCAACTTTTGCTGAAACTCCGAGGTCATGAAATAGTAGATAACGGGATCCAGGCAGCAGTTGAGGCTTGCGAGACACAACGAAATGGAGTGGAAATATAGGACTCCGTGACGCACGGAGCAGGCCCGAATCGCCTCCAGCTTCACCATCATAAAGAGAGGGAAGTTCACGTGATAGGGCGTGAAACATATCAAGAAGACCGCCACGCATCCTAAGATCATGCGCCAAGCTTTGTGCTTCTCATTGGTCTCTTGCAAAGGAGGATGGCCTTCCTTCAAAGATTGCCTCATTCGCCACGTGCAAGAAAGGATGATCGCGAGAGGTACCAGAAATCCAGAGAGCTCTGCTACAACGACCATCGTGACGGAGGCTCCCATAGTCAATTGTCTCACTCCAAGATCAGCAAAGCAGGTGTCGGTATTGTTGGTCAGGCTTGGGCTCCTCAGGATCGGAAGGGGTAAACAAGCAGCCCCCACCACAGTCCAAATGGCGGCACTGACAGCCACATCGTACCTGCACTTCCAGTCTTTGGCTTTGAAGGGATGCCTCAGGAAAAGGTATCTTTGGATGCTGATGCAGGTCAGAAAGCAGATGCTCGCATACATGTTGAGATACTTGAGATAGAAGCAAAGCTGGCAGAGGACGCTTCCAAACGGCCAGCTGTGGTTGATGTAGTAGTACATCCGTAAGGGCAAAGAGCAGACATGGGCCAGGTCGGCAACAGCCAAGTTCACCATGAACACCACGGCTTTGCTTTTCTTCTTGATGAAGTGGCACAAAACCCAGAGGGCGACGGCATTGCCTACAAGGCCAGGGATGAAAATGATGGTATAGGTGGCTGCATACATGGAGGCATGGAAACCTACTGGAGGATCACTGCAGTTTTCAGAGGAATGCCCATCCTCCATCTCCAGAAGATTGTTGGGCTTCCCGACGACAGTTTAAGGCAGGCTGGAGAATCACTGGGGAAAAGATAGAAATCCTATTATGAAAATCATGTTGGAGTTTTGTTTGCAACCTCGCACGCTACCCTGTGGTTTGTGTGACTGGAGGCATGGAAACCTACTGGAGGATCACTGCAGTTTTCAGAGGAATGCCCATCCTCCATCTCCAGAAGATCGTTGGGCTTCCCGACGACAGTTTAAGGCAGGCTGGAGAATCACTGGGGAAAAGATAGAAATCCTATTATGAAAATCATGTTGGAGTTTTGTTTGCAACCTCGCATGCTACCCTGTGGTTTGTGTGAGTAGGAGGGATGTTTCTGGGTTGGATAACTATCTGTCTATCTATCCAGAACTAACCAATCAGTCCTTTTAGCCTTTGAATTCCAAGAGAGCCTTACCTCTCTATTGAGTGCTCTTTCTGCTCTCACTTTCCTCACTTAGAAGCAGTGTTGTTTGTTTGCTGTTGATCAGTTTGGTTGGTTGCTAAGGATGTGTGCATTAAAGTGTGTAAAGCAGCACAGGCAAGTGTGTAATTTCAAGCAACTGAAAGCAAAGAAATGTTTTTATTCTTTGTCTTAGAAATGTCTCAGAGTGAGTTATTCAGACTTTAAATGCTAGTTAATGAAAAAAGGGTGGACTCTGTGGAACTTGTAGCTATTCTCTTCTGTGGATCTCTACTTGTACTGCATAGCAAAAAGAGAATTTTCCCAGAAATTCAAAACTCTGTACACCCTCCACACCCAATCTCATGGACCACAAGCCAGGAGGAAAAATTGCTGGTCTATTTGTGCGACGTGACACATTTTGGATATTGTCTCTTTTGGCTAGTTTGGTTAGTTAAACTTTCCAAAATACACCCCTTTTTCTTTTAAATGCCATTCTGTCTCTGTTGTGGGCCAAAAGGTATGTATCGGAAGAGAATAGGCATGGGGAAATGTCTAGAGTATGGAAAATCACTGTTTTGAGCCACTTTCTTCCAGGAAACATTTTCAGTGGCCAAACTGGGTGGGGAGTTTAAGGGATCCGTCCAAAAACCTGCAGAAATTTTACAAGTAAGCTGAAGACCATTTTCTGGGCTCAATTCATTTCTGTCTCCAATTACATGTCCTGGTTAGAGAGACAGTTCCCTCCCTCTCTTCCCCAAATGGAATCATGCACTCATCACAGCAGTTTGAAAATCTCAGGGCTTTTTCCATGTAAATCCTTGCAATGGGAAATAATTACACAGCCTCAGAGTCATCGAACCAGAAGGGAGACTGTTTAGGGCAGGTACTTCTGGAAATGTACAAAAACATCTGTTGCTAGTGACACACAAACACACCCTTGACATTTCACAGGGTCTTGGTACCTTGGCTAAAAATATGTACGACCTTAGTTCTGCTTTCTAAATGAATCTCTTTCATCAACGGAGCTTACAGTGGAAAAAGTTAGCATTTCCGCAGCTGGGCATGACAAGTGGGAGGGACCCATCCTACTTGAGGGCATCTCACCAACAACCAGTTGATTTCAGAGGGAGGTGGAGAATAGTGAACTGGATGCCTAGGGTCTAATCCAGAATGGCTCTCCGGATGTTCCTACCGAAGGGAACTGGAAGCAGTGTGGAGGTGAATAGCCAGTGTGTTTGTGTGGAAACGTCGTATCAGTTTTATATAGGCATAAAGGAATTATAATTTTAGAACTGCAGAGTTGGAAGGGACCCTATAGATCATCAAGTCCAGCTCCTGTTAAGGAGGCTTGGTGGGGAATTGAACTCCCAACTTCCAGTTCTGCAGCCCAAGATCTAAACCAAGAAGTTGACTTACACTGCCTCAGATCCTTGGCCCATTGAGCCAAGCGCCGTTGACAACTGTCAGCAGCTCTCCACAGCATTTCAGAAAGAAGTCTTTCCTACTCGAGGCTGTACATAGAACCTGTGTGTAGAACAGATGCTCTACCACTGAGCCACAGCTCTCCCCCCAAAGAAGGAGGTTTGCTTCTTGAGACACCAATATGTCTTCTTGAACTATTGGGTAATACTGTAGTTAGGGCTACACAACCAATTCGGCTGAATCTCAGATCTTGAAACAAATTGGTCAGATTTCAGATCAAGTCTGAATTGGATCAGATTGGGATTGGATCAGATCCGGATAGGTCAATACTTTGAGGATAGCCAGGGGAGAGATTGGATCAGATCCGGATAGGTCAATACTCTTTGAGGATAGCCAGGGGAGATCCTCTGTGGTCCCATCTCATGCTCTTTAACACCCAGCCTTATTCAGAGTGCAATAACAGTGGTAACCAACTCCGATTTCGGTTTTTATTCATGAAACATACAACCTTGTTTCTCTTTTCTCATCAAAAAGGAAGTCCTACCTTGCTAAGGAGTAGGATGAAAGAGGTAACTAATTTGCATGAATGGAATATGCTAATTGATGCAGGGTGTGTGTACTTGTTGCAGAGATGAAGATTCAGAAGCCTTCGCATTCTGATTATTTAAACAACCAATGGATTGTGTCCAAAATATTGTTCACATAGCAATCCACAGAAGCCATCACATTGAATGGCAGGCCATTGAAAACTAGGAAGTGGCCTAGGAACCATTACGATGTGTTTGGCTTGCAGAACATGTCAAAAATGCCACTTGGATGTCTCAAAACATGGTTTCCTAAGATGTTGAAGAACAAAAGATCAAAGAACTTGACATCATTATCCTTGTTGCCTATTCATTGATGTAAGCTGCCTCTTTATTCATTGTTCATAATTTTTTTAAAATATTGATTTTTAATTAATTAAAGGGTCAGTTTGCAGAACATGCTTTAAAGCAGTGGTTCCCAACCTTGGCTAATCCAGATGTTCTTGGACTGCAACTCCCAGGAATCCTGGCCAGCACAGCTGTTGGTGAAGACATCTGGGATTTTCAGTCCAAGAACTTTTGGGGGACCCAAGATGGGGAACAGCTGTTTTAAAGCAACATCGGTGGAGCAAAAAGCCAAATCAGAACTTAAAGCAAGAATAAAAAATATATTTTTAGTAAATAACTGATAAAAATATCATTTTAGTCTCAATACTCAGAAAATCTCATTTTTGAGAACCAACTGTCCCCACCCCATCCCGGATATATACGAACATAAAACTAATATCATTTTTCTAACTTCAAATAGCACTTAGGCAAAGTTTTAAAAAGAGATATAAATTGTTCCATGCAACTTCATTTTTCCCCTCTGCGCCCCCCCCTCCCCCGGCTTAATCCTTAGAAAACAGTTAAGCAAATCTCACATATTTCTGGTTCTAAAAATATAAGATTCAACGGTGGGATCTGGCAGTGCCAAAGCAGTGCCTTTTCAAGAGGAAATGTATTTCCACGGCTGATGCAACTCTACAGTCAATCGATTAAAATCGTGCCTTTCCTAGAGCCAATTCTGAATGAGTTTGTTTATAAGCAAAGTCTCTTGAATTCAGGGCAAAATTTTAATGTGTTGACCCTAACTGTATTACGTGGGAAAGAAAAGACATCTGTTTCATGGGGATTTTTTTTTCTCTTTCTTTCTCACGCCAAAGTCTGCTCAGAGTCGTGATCCTCATTTGCCAAAGGAAACATTTTCGAGAGACGAACCAGCCTTACCTCACTCCAGCTTCCACGCTTCCGACCGGCGACAACCACAGGGGAAACGGAGAGGGTCGAAAAGCAAAAGGAGCCCCCTTTGCGGGTGGTTTTGGCTCCCCATGTCGGCCAAAGCGTCTTGTCCTCACGCTCTAGAACTCTTGTCAGTAGCAGAAGTTTTCAGCCTGCCTTGAGGTCCAAAACCAGGAGCAATGACTGTTTGAAAGGAATTCCTGAGTCTCGCCTCTCTTCCCACTTAAAAAAAACAAAAACACTCACCACAGCATTTGGAAGTGAAGCATCTGAACATCTGACATCACAATTATAGGTTTTGCTGCCGGAGGAAGAGCTTGGCTGTAGATTTTCAGTGACATTCCCATTTTATTTTTATTTTTGCATTCATGCTCCACTTGTGTACCTTATACTTCCTTCTCCTCAGAGGGTTAGCCACTTAGGCATAGAAACAGACATGACGAGGAACTGAGTCCAGGAAGTTACAATCTCAGATCAATTCCACGACAATTAGGCACGACAATTTTGTCAGCCTCATTCTTATCCTCTCCGCAGGCCCGCAAACATTAGAAAGGAGAGAAGGCAGCCAAGGAGTGAAGTGATCCTGAGATGGACAGGACTGCTTGAGAGGGCAGCCTGGGATCATGAAGGATCTTGGCATCCGCGCGCAGGGATCCGGTGGTTTGGGAACAGGAAGCTATGCCTCACCACAAAATGACCCTCTTTGTTCTGTGACTCCCTGTCAGCTTCCACGGGTCTCCATCCTCTCCTGCTTCCTCCTGGGGGAAAGCTGATATATCACTTCATTGGCTGGTCACTGAAGTAAAACAGCGCTAGATTGTAAAGAAAAAGAAGGGGGAAACCACCCTCTGTGTCCTGTTCTGTCATCCCCCCCTTGCAAGAAGCAGGGAAAGCTTTTATATATAGCTTTTACAGTGGTGCCTCACTAGACAGTTACCCCGCATGACAGTTTTTTTCGCTAGACATTGACTTTTTGAGATCGCTATAGTGATTCGCAAAACAGTGATTCCTATGGGGGAATTTCGCTGGACAATGTTTGGTCCCTGCTTCGCAAACCGATTTTTGCTAGACAACGATTTTTACAGCTCCCTCCGTGCTCGCAAAACGGATGTTTTCAGGACCTAAGCCTCTCAAGACAACTATTTAAACAGCTGATTGGCGGTTCGCAAAGCGGCTTTCCTATGGCCGATCTTCGCTAGACAACGGCGATTCTTCCCCATTGGAATGCATTAAACAGGTTTCAATGCATTCCAATGGGGAAATGCTTTTTGCTAGGCGATGATTTCGCTAAACAGTGATTTTAGTGGAACGGATTATCATCATCTAGCGAGGCACCACTGTATATATACATATTGACATATTCTCTCTCTCCCCTGCCACACACACACACACACACACACACACACACACACACAAACAAACAAATAAACCAATATCCCCTGCAAGGGACCCCCCAAAAGCTGCAGGTAGTCACAGATAAGGACCGAGCTGATTCACAATGGCCCTGCATCATGTGGTCACTGCAAAATAGCATGAATCAGCCCGTTCCCAGAGGAGTCCAAAATGGGTTGTAGAGGGATTCAGCGCTGGCTGAAGGACTGCTGAAATTTTAATTTCCCAGAATCCCCCTGATGATCAGCAATTTCACCGGGAAGTGGATACTGGGAGACATCGTTGAAAAAAGACGAAAACTCAAGAAAAATGCACGGGTTGAAGGATCTGCACATTTGAAATGTGTTACAAGAATATGGTTAATGCTCATATAGGCATTGCGTCTTACTGCGTCTTTTAGTATCAGCCTGGTTGCTGCTGACTAACAGATTCTGCCGTGCCATTATGCTGCATCAGCTACTGGTCTTTCATGTTGCAGAGTGGTGTAACAGCAGTATCATCGGACAGCGATTCCATGATGTCAGTAACAATGATACTGATCACTCAAAGATATTATCTTAAACTGAAAGCATCTTTTTTCATTTCCTTTCCTTTTTTTTCCTGGCTGTGAAAGAGAATGGGCCAGAAAAACTGCAGGGCTACCATAAAAAAAATTGAGGTCTTTACACAAGTGCTTGTTCTGTACTCAGAACCCCCTAACAGGACTATCCCGTATATGTCTTTCCCCATCTATGAGGATTGCTAGAACAAATCACACTGTATTAAGAGTGAGCAAAATCCTCTTGGGTAAAGTTATGCCAGTTCCAGCACTGGTTAATATATCATTTAAATTAATCAAAAGCTCCCTGTGATCGTTTCCCGAGGCTCCCCAGGGCTTCTTTTTGGTCTGCCAGAGTCTTTGGAAGACTTGATTTAGGGTGCAGGGGGGAGGATTTTTAATTAATTTTTTTAAGTGCCACCAAGCCACTGTCCCCAGTGTTGGAACCTGCAGTGGTGATCAAGCAGTGATCCCATTCCAAGGCTCCCGAAAGCATCCCAGGGACAAAGAGGAGCATTAGGAAGCCTCGCAAACAGAAACTGTGGCATAGGGAGCCTTCGATTCAGTTATATTGCATTTTCCTGCGCCAGATTTGGTTTATGCTGGTGTAACTCCACACAACAGAATTTGGCCTGATGTAAAATAAGCACACAAAATGCATAACCAGTGCAACAAGGGAGTGCTTATCTATCTATCTATCTATCTATCTATCTATCTATCTATCTATCTATCTATCTATCTATCTATCTATCTATCTATCTATCTATCTATCTATCTATCTATCTATCTATCTAATCTATTTATTTATTTTATTCTACTTATATCCCGCCCATCTGGTAACATGACCACTCTAGGCGGCTAGTTTATCTCCTGATATTTTTCTTTTGCCAAATGAAGAAGTGAAGGTTACAATTTATATATGCTAGAAGACTGTTGAAACTGGTTTCCTTAGTGACTGGTAGATCAGATAATATTTTGTCTATGGAGATGGGGAGGCGTTTGCAAAATGACTCAGAGGTTTTGGCAAGGGCTGGCAGAAATGGGCAGATTTATAAAAGGCCCATGTTTTTTTTCCTGCATCTCTGGTGGTTTCCTTTAGGTTCAGAGCCAGCCCTATCATTATGCGGAATGAAGTAACCAACTCAGGAAGCACATGATGGAGGCAGGACTGGCAGCCCCCCCTCATTCTTCTTGAGTCCCTGCCTTCTGTTGAGAAAACAGAGCCACGTGCACCCCTTAAACAACCCTGTCCCCCTTGAGGAAACTGGAGGAAACTGCTTCACTGCCTGTACTAAAATCTTTAGATAAGGTGAAGAAATGGGTGGGAAGGGCTAAGCTCCATGGGAGATGCAAGGAATTAGGGAGTTTAGTAGACTTTACCTAGTAGATTTTGCTTGTGGTGCTTCCCCAAAAACACTGCAAGACCTTTAAATCTTTGCATCTCACACGGAACTTTGCCCCACTGACTCAAGATTTGGGAAAAATAGGTTTTATTCTTTATAACGGCAGAACATGTTCCAGCCAATTTCCTATTTTGTGGCCTTCTTTAGGGCTTCATGGGGGGCGGGGGAGGAATGCAATAATACAAGCAATTAGACACTTATTCCTTTCTTTTATCTTTATTCTTTTATCGTTTTTAAATAATGTGCCATCCGGTGAATTCTGACTTACAGTAGCATTGATTTTTATCCACCCAGCCAAGCAGCATGGACATGGCCATTGGCCCTAGGCCAGGTCTGTGGACTTTCTCGCATTCAAGAGATGGGAACTACCGCTTGGTGGAAAACTGAAGCTCTCGGGCCCTGCAGCCAGGATGATAGTGGCCGTGATGAGGCTAGAATTCTAGAAACTATTAAAAATGGGTTCCCCCTCTTGGCTCCTGCTCCAGATGTACAAACGTTCACGTCAACTCATCCCTTGACAGCTCATGAACCTTTGCTGGTGGGGGCACTCAGAGGACTTCTTTCCCCCCCGAGGTGGGCAGGTCGGCCTCCTTGTGGCCAAGGGAGCTGTAGATAGGAAGGGGTGAGCCAGTGGTTGCTCAGAAGATGCAAGAGACCTTTCTCGAAAGGACCACATTGATGGGTGGGAGGGCTTCCCCCAGCAAACCCTTCCAGTGCTGGATTTTCTGTGGAAGCCAGTCTATCTGGCTGGCAGGTGGGCAAAGCATCCTCCCCGAGGGATGAAGGAAATGGGGTTGGTGGTCCTGACCCACACATTGGACCTCTGTGGTTAGATTGTTGGTATCAGCCAGAAAGTATTTCACTATCCATTCTGAGGATCTTCCAGGAAATCTTAACACGAGGGGACCAAGGAATCCGACACACTCGTCCCTGTAAAAATTGTGTGTAAAGTCAACCCACAAACAATTGCATGCTCTACCGCGGTGGTTCCCAGCCTTGGGTCCCCAGGTGTTTTTGGACTACAACTCCCAGAAGCCTTCGCCACTCACTGTGCCTGCTAGGATTTCTGGGAGTTGTAATGCAAGCACATCTGGGGACCTAAGGATGGGATCTGCTGCCCCAGAGGGTCATTTGCATCTATGCAACGGTGTTGCCGATTCTCACAAGGCCCTCCTTGGGATCCCCTTTCCAGAAGTGGAGATGGAGGGCAACAGAAAGGGGGAACCTTGACTGTTCTTGGGAAGTGTCAGTTTCCCCAAATGTCTGGCTTAATCGGGACATTCCAAATTCAACCTGAAATGGCAGAGGGAAGAAGCAGCTACAGTGGTGCCTCGCTAGACACTTACCCCCATGACAGTTTTTTCGCTAGACATTGACTTTTTGTGATCACTATAGCAATTCACAAAACAGTGATTCCTATGGGAGAATTTCGTTGGACAATGTTTGGTCCCTGCTTCGCAAACCGATTTTCGCTAGACGATTTTGACAGCTTCCTCCGTGTTCGCAAAACAGGTGTTTTGGGGACCTAAGCTTTGCAAGACAGTGATTTAAATAGCTGATCGGCGGTTCGCAAAGCGGCTTTCCTATGGCTGATCTACGCTAGACAACGACGATTCTTCCCCATTGGAATGCATTAACCAGGTTTCAATGCATTCCAATGGGGAAATGCTTTTCCCTAGACAATGATTTCGCTAAGCAGCGATTTCAGTGGAACGAATTATCATCGTCTAGCGAGGCACCACTCTACTGACATTCGAGGTCAAGAAGAGCAGCAAAACTTCATTCTGCAAGGAGATTTTTATTTTTTATGGGTTGGAAGACTGACATCCAAGTGTCTTCCCCTGTCATTGAAGGGACTGGCGGGGAAAGAAGAGCGTATTAATTTTTGCTTGCTTTGAGACAGATATGGAGTGTCTGCCTTTGGTTCTCCTTTTTTTAAAAAAAACCACACTGCTAGTCCGTGTGTTCCGTGAGCTGTTTGGGCAGAAATATGTTCAATGTGTGGTTTATCTGCATAACATCCTGATCATTTATCGCTCTGTCTGCACTTCCTTTCCAGTAAAAAAAAGAAATGTATATCTTAAAGTTGTTTCATTTCTGCCTGCGAACCTTACTGCAAAACAAGGTCTGCTACGCTGCTGCTAATGATGATCATGATGACGTTGATGTTTGCAGCCTAACTCTGGGAGGAAAGGCCAAAGAAATGGGGAACTTTCACTGAAAAGCAACATTCATGGGATGAGGACCTCTCAAGAAAAATAAGTTTTGTCCTCTATATCGGCTCAACTTGTTCCAGCCAATCTCTTATTTTGTGGCTCTCTTTAGGGGGTCACAAAAGGAAAAGAGACATTAAAAGCAACTGCTTCCACAGAATGTCAAAATAAAAAATTTTCAAGAGTCAATGACCTCATCATCGTGTCATACCAAGCTATGGTTCCCACCAATCATCAGCTGCCACAGCAACACAGAATAAGAACAATCAGATGGCCTCAAGAGTCAGTTTCGACTCATGGAATTTTCAGGATTTTCCGGGTAGGGACAACTCCGAAGTGGTTTGCCATTCCTTTCTTCTGTGGACTGTCCTGGGATGCTGCAGCTGGCCCAAGGCCACCCAGGCTGGCTCTTCTGAGAGGCCCAATGGGGAATCAAACTCCCAACTTCTGGCTCCGCAGCCAGAGACCTCAACCATGGAGCTCTTCAGTTTCATGGACAGAGGGAAGGCACAATATTTATAGCCCAGGGCTGAGACTCCAATGGCAGTAACATCATCCTCAGTGTCTTCAATGACCTAGGAGACCCTGAAGACAGGCCACTGGCAAGGTGCTCCTGGCCACTGCCACTCATTGGTCAGCCGGGCATGACGGACAAGCGGTTGAACGGGTGGGAGTGTGGTGGCAGCAACCGCAGTTGCACCAGCTGTGTTTTCAACGGCCAGATTAACACCCTTAGTGCTACTTCTGCCACCAATGCGCTCCTCAGCCACTGCCATGCAGCCACATGGAGACACATGGAAACAAATGCCCATTTCAGGCCGCTTCATGCTGTTTCGCACATGAAGTAATAAAGCTCATTGTGGGTTACCTGCCGATGTGTGGTTCCTCCTTCTCTCTCCCTCCGTCTCGACTTTGGCTCCCTCACCCTCACTCTGTGGCTTCTTTCTCCTCATTGTGGCTCTCCCCCCCACACTCTCAGCCGTGTTCGCTGCCGCTTATTCCCGCGGTAAGATGGCAACATTCACCTACCCACACCCCACCCAGAGGTAAACTCGCTTCCTCTCCATGAAACTCAAATCCTGAGTTTTCCCCATAGAGGACCCAGGAGTCTGGCCATTGCTATGAAATGCTTCAACAAGGATGCGCAGCCGGTGTTTACAAACAATCTGCTCCATCAGATAGGTCTGTTTCAAGTCATGCCTCTCCTCAATGACAAGATGGATCATCTTCCTATAGAGAAAAGGAGAGGGAAGCCTTTTCTTTTGAGTAAGCAGGGACTGATGTTTTGGGAAATAACTAATGTAACTACCGTGGACTGCAAAAATGGTACCGAAATGAGTCAATAAAGGGAACATTTCCTCAAACAAAAGAAAAAACCATTAGAACTTTAAGAGTACTGCTCTAAACATCTTCAGATTTGCTACTGAGCATGCTCGTTGTGTCTGCTAAGACTCTGCAAGATTAGGATCTCAGTTCAAAAACCAGTTTAAAAGCTAGCACCTTTGGTTTGGGTGGCCCCCTGCTTTTGGTTTGGGTGGCCCCCTGCTATCCGTCAGGGCTGTACTAACCCGCCACGAAATATCAGAGGTGCATTCCTCAGCACCTCACATTGATCTTGGTTGCCTATTGGAGTGAATCATGGGCTGGGCCAGGAGAAAGGGAGGGATCCTGCTTGCTACACTCAGGAGCTGACCATGGTGCCTGTAAGTTTGTGGGCCATAATGGATATTCAAGGGATTCAAGGTCAGGACCAGCCCAGCATACACAACTCCAGTTTCCTGTGCTCTGATTCTCACATTTTGCTCTGACGCATTGAGACTGCACTTCTGAAGGGGGTCTGATGTTTGTCTTCAATGGTAGTCAGCAGTATTGTACTCTATATTCTCCCCTTTTCTTCTGAATGATTATTTTATTCATCTAGTACATATTTGCAGAGAGGCATAATGAATAAATTCATGGACAACCAACTGAAAACTCATGATCAAGCAACCTAGGCTATAACCCAGTGTGCGCACAGGGTGAATTAGTCCCGTTAGTTCAATTGAAATCAGTAGGGTTTCTCGTTAGCAAATGTGGAAAGCAGTGGCCTGCACCATTTCTTCAACCAGAAGACTTCTTCACAGACACATTGTCCAGAAATCTATCACCTAATTGTCAAGGACACAGTAGCTCAGTGGCGTGGCATGTGCTTGGCATGAAGTAGGATCCAGTTTAATTGCTGGCATCTTCAGGTACATTTGAGAGATGGCTCTTAAATCTTTCAGTGCCCTCCTGTGTCCACCTTGGGAAGAATGCATTATCATTTGGTAAATTTTCTAGCATATCCCATTAGAGATGGCCACAAACTCCTGGTTTGTGGCCTTCTATATATCCCATAGAAGAACTGAGTTCAATCGCCAGCATCTTCAGGCAAGGACGAGGGGCACTGCTATTTGAAAACCTGGTGCACTGCTTCCATTCCGTAAAGTCAACAGTCTCTAGCAGGAATGGAAACTGGATGCAAACACGCCTTCCTACGCCTATCGTTCTTTGTCCAATTTGGAACCCCCATTCATTTATTCCTTAAAAGAGGACGAACTGTCTTTGCTCATCAAGCGACTCCGGATGGCCAAGCTGCTATGCCTTAATATCTGACCCTGGAATTCAGACGTCATGAAAAAATAGAGAATTGGATCCAGACAACAATTGAAGCTCGCCAGGCTTAAGCAGAAAGGGTGAAGGTACAGAATGTGGCGTCCTATGGTACAGTCCTTGATGACGTTCTCCTTGACCATCATGAAGAAGAAGAAGACGATGTGATAGGGAGTGAAGCACACAAAGAACACAATGGCGCACGTGGCAACCATCCGCAATGCTTTCTGTTTTTCCATCGTGCTTTGGTGGGGGATTTGACGTTCCTGCAGTGAAGCTTTTGTTTTCCACGTGCAATACACGACAACGGTAAGGGGGACGAAGAAGCCGACGACCTCAGCCATCATCACAGCCACGATGGAATTTGTCTTGCTTCCGATCTTCTTGACGCTGAGTTCGGTGAAACATGTCTCGGGGGAATCAAAACTTCTCAGCAGCGGAAAGGACAAGCAAGCGGCCCCAACCACGACCCACACTGCAAAACACACCGCCACGTCGTATCTCCGCTTCCAGTCCTTGGCTTTGAAGGGGTGGAGCAGGAAGAAATACCTTTGCACGCTGATGCAAGTGAGGAAGCAGATGCTGGCGTACATGTTCAGATATTTCAGATAGAAACAAAACTGGCACAAGAATCTCCCGAACGGCCACCTGTAGTTGATATAATAATAGATCCGTAGAGGTAAGGAGAGGACGTGAATGAAGTCTGCCACGGCCAAGTTCACCATGAAGAGCACAGTTTTGTTTTGCTTGCCGACAAAGCGGCATAAAATCCAAAGGGCCACACTGTTGGCCAGGAGCCCTGGGATAAAGATGATGGTGTACGTGGCGGCATAAAGAGAATGCTGGAAATCTTGACCAGGTCCACAGTTTTCTGTGGCACTCGTGCTCTGCATGAGTAGCATCTCTGTGCTCCAGTTAAAAACCCTGTGCCCTGGAGGGGTTACTGCCTTGGAATGATTATATACTCTGGAAAGTAAAGGAAAACAGCATATTGGTTATTTTCACCATAAATAGCACACACATGAATCAGCTACTGGATGCACCCATGCGGTGACTGGCATCCACTGGCCAACAGTGATGATGTCATCAGTAGAAGCCAATTGCTGCTGGTTGAAGGTGGCCTTTCTTGAGTGTGAGCTGCCTGCAACTCTCTTAACACTGCCTATGAGTTGCGTGTGGCTCACAATCGCCTTGAATCAGCAGCAATTTGTGTCTGACCGCAGGGACTTGCCGTTACTCTCGATGACATCATTGTTGCACCCACAAAGCTGCACAACGGGATTTCAGCCATTATAAAAATGCTTCATAAATCATTTCATAAATAGCTGTGTTCATTCCAGTGTTTATATTCAGCCTTACTGTGCTACCTCCGGGATGCTCAAGGTCGCAAATGCCAACAAAGCTTGAAAAACAGTTGTATAGTTTTCCTTGTTCATTTTTTATAGTAATTAACATAGAAGGAGCTGAAGAGTGGGAAAGCATTGTGAGTACATTCATTGGGCCAGTTGTTCACTTCCAGAAGCATTGCACCGGAAACTTGCTGATCTGCGCAGTGCTCTGATATGAATAAAAAAATATGACAACACAATCAAGATAAACAAAAGCATAAAGCCCATTCACTAAAAAGCTGAGGTGGGGCAATGGAAGACATGGTCCAACTGTACGTTCACCACAACAGAACCTGGCCATCAGTGAAAAGCCATACTGAACCCAGGGGAGAGTGATGATCATCAGGGTCTTAGTTCATTTGCAATAGGGAGATGGCTAATGTTCTGGTGGAAATGACCACCACAGGGTGGAGATCTTTCAAAGATGACTTCCCATGATCAGACCTTGGCAAAGTTCCTTTTGTTGGACTATACATAACAGAACAACAACTGGCTTCCAGCTGATATTCCAGTAGAGCAGCTATCTATGGTTGATATTCTTGAACCTAGATTTAGAGTGCAGTACGACACATGTCTACTTAGAAATACATCTTCTCAATCTCACTAAGGATCCTACCAGGTCAAAGGGTATAGTGCAGTGGGTCCCAACCTTGACTCCTCAGAGGTTCTTGGACAAAAACTCCGAGAAGCCTTCACCACTCGCTGTACTGGCCAGGATTTCTGGGAGTTGTAGTCCAAGAACATCTAGGGACCCAAAGTTGGGATAATGCACAAAGCTTCAGATTTCTTGGTTCATCAGACTTGCAGAAATATCAATGTCTTTACTGATTTTTTTTTAAGGCTGTTGCCCCAGAAAACTTTCTAGTTCTTACAGATGGTTTGGGTGTGGTGCAAACTACTTTTACAATAAAGCAGGATTTCCGTTCTCACTATTTTCTCTCTCTCTCTCTCTCTCTGTGCAAGTTGTTTTATGCTTGCTGGATTTAGTATGCAGCCTTCCTGTAAAGTGCCAAACAGACTCTGTACTTTTGCAACAGTTTTTTTTACAAACCAACTACAGTTAAAACAAGAGAGAGAGAGAGAGATCAAACTGTTTCTTCTCTCCTTCCATGTACCCATATACCAATGTTGCTCTTTTAAAATGAGTTTCCTTATAGAGTTGAAGGACCTCCAGTCCAGTCCCCCGTCAGTCAGGAAGCCACAGTCCACTTCCGTGACAGAACAGTCAGCAAGCCTCCGTTTAAAAATTTCCCACAAAACCCAGTTGACCTCCTTCTGAGGTTCGACGGTTGAACCCATCATTCAAGAAAACATGGGCCTTGTAATGCAATGTTGCAATGTTTTGTTGCAGATGTTGGGTAGTTCGTCAACATCAGTTGTGAGGTATACGGTTCCAAACTCAAGAAACCACAGTAATCAATCGATCAATCAATTGATCAATCAATCAGTCAGTCAGTCAGTCAGTCTGTCTGTCTGTCTGTCTCTCTCTCTCTCTCTCTCTCTCTCTCTCTCTCTCTCTCTCTCTCTCTCTCTCTCTCTCTCTCTCTCTCTCTCTCTCTCTCTCTCTCTCTCTCTCTCTCTCTCTCTCTCTCTCTCTCTCTCTCTCTCTCTCTCTCTCTCTCTCTCTCTCTCTCTCTCTCTCTCTCTCTCTCTCTCTCTCTCTCTATCTATCTATCTATCTATCTTGCACAGTCTTCTCCATCTCTACCAAGAGAGAAGGCCCACTTAATTAGATGTATTTCAGCCTATTTAAGATTGTCAGAGTCAGCTCTGTTTTTGGACTACCAAAGACCAGAATTTCCAGTCAGCTAGAGTTTTGGGTTAGAGTCGGAGTCTTAAAAAAGGAACTTTTGTGTAGTTCTGAGGATTCCACCTTAAAAGGCCAATGCTTCAGGAAGGCATAGGAAGAGCAACTGTGTCATTTCCAAAGAGCTGTTGGCTTGCTTCCGCAGAACAGACGTGATGGCTTGTTCCCATCCTTATTAGGTTTCATTTCTTTACTTCATTTGTTTACTTCCCCTCATAATCTTCCCAATAAGAGGGAAACAAACAACGCCACTTTAGGAGAAGTTTATTTCTTCCTCGTCCCGTGTGACAGAGACACGTGAGGGCTTGGGATCCTCTGCAGGCCAATGTCCCTCCTGGAACGTCCCCAGACAAGCCGAGAATGCCTTCTGCTTTGGCTTTCTCGCGTTGTCCTTCCATAGTTGGTATTGCACCCGGAGTAGGCCTTTCCAAGGTTGTACAAAGAAGTGCTGGGACATTGGGCAAAACCCCCTCTGAGGGAAATTTATTCCTCCACTTTCAAAAATTTCATTTGAAAAGAACAAGAACAATCAAGGGCAGTCGGGAGACATTCTGCATCCATCACAGGCCTGTGCGTTAAAACGTTCGGGACTGCTAAGCTTTTTGCTCTTGGGTGTTACGCAAATGCACGTGAACAGGGCATGAGGAACTGCTCTGTGAGATGGGTGGGGCAATTAAAAGGATCAGATTAGGCATGGAAAAGGGAGAAATTAATAGCTCTGTGTTTCTTTTGGTATCTGGCTGAGTCGCTAGCGGTTGGGGGTTCAATTCCCCCATCGTGCCTCCTTCTATGATCTTTCCAGCGCTGCAGTTCCGAGGTTACTATCAAGATTGTCATCATCTTAGAAACGCAGAGCTGGAAGCGCCCCTATCGATCATTAAGTCTAGCCCTTGTCAAGGACGTACAGCGGGAATCAAACTCTCAACCTCGGGCTTCAGATGCCTAAACCTTGGAGCCATCCAGTTCTAACCTTTTCCACCATGGGGGGAAAAATTCTCTAAATAAGGAATTAGAAGCTCCTTTCCGAATTAGGATGTTATGAAGAACCCCACCCCACACAAATTGTGGAATAAGTTATAAAGATGGGTTTTCTAGTTGAGGTTGCTTCTGTAGAAACAAACAAAACCCCAAAATCCATATTGAAGAGAGCAAAATCTCTGTACAGACCTATTAAGTATTCATCTCATTTTATTTATAGTCCACGAGGCACCTTACAAAATGAGGTGGGGTAAAACGATGGACCCCTATATTTGTATTCTCAGAGGCTTTCACGGCCGGGATCTGATGGTTGTTGTGGGTTTTTCGGGTTCTGAAGGTTGTTCCTCCTCTTTGGCCGTGTTCTGAAGGTTGTTCTTCAGAACACGGCCAAAGAGCCCGGAAAACCCACAACAGCCATCAGACCCATATATTACCATCTTAAAATCGGACTGAATGCATCGTATGGAAGTAAAACCATCTCAAAACATTAAAACCCAGGAGCGCACAGGGTTTTTTTTTAAAGAAGAGAAAGGCACCATTCCATGCTTTTAAAAAAAGCACAAAACCGAAAACTTTCTCTTTAGCCCACGCAGTTTCCTAAAGCTGGCCAGAAAAATATTTGCTAGCCCGTGGAAAGAGAGTGCTGGGGGAGCCTGAATCACAAGACGGAGAGAAAGGCGTTCCCTTGAAGCTCTGAAAATCTGGGGAGTTTTCAACGGGATCTGGAAAGGGACCAGTAGCCAGTGGCGGTGTGGTGTGCATGCCAGCTGTATATTCCCCGTCCCTCTTCCACGCCAACATAGCATTTTGGATCAGCTGCGCTTCTTCAGCACTCTCTCAAAAATTAACCTTTAAAGCTCCCCCTCCAGGAAAGTGCTCTCTCGCTTAGCTCTTCTAGCTGACAAAGTTCCCGATTCTCTCCTCGGTGAGTCTTCCAAGTTTGTGGGGTTTTTTGTTTTTTGTTTTTTTGTTTTTTGTCGCTTTGGGCAGTGGCACCGCGATGTATGTGATCACTTCGCTCCGGACACTTCCTCTGCCAAAGCTTGGCATGCATCGCAACAGCTCTGCCTGCCCGGCTCGGAACAGAGGTGCAATGTCTGAACAGCGTTTCCTAGGCTGGAAAAAAAAAGGGAGGGAGGGCCTTGGTTCCAGTTTTCGGATTGCACGCAGACTGAGGCACCATCAACAACTGGATGTCATGGGCAAGAAGAGATGGAAGTGGGCCACAAAGCTACCCTGTTGACAGCATGCAGTAATGTCCTCAGGATTGCTCTGTTGAGAACGACTGGGTTGCTCCATGGTTTAGGTCTCTGGCTGTGGAGCCAGAGGTTGGGGGTTCAATCCTCCACTGTGCCTCCTTGAGAGGTGCTGGATTCGAGGATCCATTGGGTCCCTTCGAGCTCTGTAGTTCTAAGATTATTATTGAGCAGCTGGATAGCTCGGTGAAGTTTAGATCTCCACCGGTTGGGAGTTAGAGTCTGTTTCCAGCTCTGTAGTTCTAAGATTATTGTTGAGCAGCTGGATAGCTCGGTGGGGTTTAGGTCTCCACCGGTTGGGAGTTAGAGTCTGTGCTGTGCCTTCTTGACAGGAGCTGGACTTGATGATCTATAGGGCCCCTTCTTAGAACTCTGCAGTTCTAAGATGAAGACTAAGAGAGCTTCTGCATTATGAAGTGCACGAGCAGGACCTCTTGAGCGGTTTGTGCTGTTGCCGTGGTTTACGCCTTTCCTGTTCACTTCACACCAACTGAGCAAGCTTTGAGTGAGCTGTTTGGGCTTGCCCCCGCGGCGGCCTCTTGGCCCACACCTTGTTATTGCACCATATCTATTGGTAATAAACACTCATCTGGCATTATACTAGCATAGCCGTGTGAGATGGCATCGCAAGAGAGCAGCTTTGGTGTATATATCGCTGGTGGTCCACCCTTCTCCCCGCTTGGTTGAGAAAGCACACAGGAAATAGCCACTTACTGGCTATCAGGTGAAAAGGAAAGAAAAACATTAAAAAATTAAGATGAGAAAAACATTGTGGCGCCTTAACAACTAACTGCTGTATTTTTAGGTGAGCTTTCGTAAACAAGTCCACTTCCTCAGGCTTGTCTACGAAAGCTCACATTAAATATATATCAGTTAGTCTTTATGGTGCCACCGTGTTTTTGTCTACTTTAATTTTAATTCTGCCTGATATGCTAGCACAGAGTAACATGGCAACCTTTTCTAAATCTATACATATTCCAGATTGCTGGTGTAAATAAAATTTAGGTGAGCTTTCGTAAACAAGTCCACTTCCTCAGGCTTGTCTACGAAAGCTCACATTAAATATATATCAGTTAGTCTTTATGGTGCCACCGTGTTTTTGTCTACTTTAATTTTAATTCTGCCTGATATGCTAGCACAGAGTAACATGGCAACCTTTTCTAAATCTATACATATTCCAGATTGCTGGTGTAAATAAAATCTTTATAGGCCTGATATGCTAGCACAGAGTAACACGGCAACCTCTTCTAAATCTATACTGTACATATTCCAGTTTGCTGGTGTAAATGAATTCTTTATAGCTAGGAAGTGTTAGCTGCCACCTCACCTCAACCATATTCTACACACACGTATTGTCAACTTTCTCTCTGGATCTCTCTAACGAAGGAAGACATCTACAGGTGTTGTGATGAGGGTTATAATATACCTAACTTTCTCCACTCCAGCATTTCAACAGGCTCCAAAAAGTATCTCAAACACTCTCAGTAGACAATTCCAAATTTTTTAAAAAATCTATTCATTACAAAGCTCATCCCATTTACAGCTTTTGTAGAAGATGCTTGTGTTTCTTTGCCTGTTTTGAATCTAAGAGAGAAAAAATAAACAAAGACTATTTAAAAAAGAAAAAAGCAGGGTGTTTCCAGTGTGGAATGAGAGGCCTTGCTAATTTTTAGACAAAAATAGCATTTCTTCCAATTTGCATTCTGCATCGTACAAACTTGCTCCATCTACTTTTTAATTTTTTAAAAAAATAAAAACGTATCCAATTAATCAGTTGCCTAAAAGGCAGCCAATTAGTCAAGAAATTGATCTCAACAGCCTCGCTCAATCTTTCAAGACAGCGATGACTATTAACGTTTCACTGCCTCTGGCTTCTGACCACTTTGTATGCACCTTAAAACTGTCCTCCCCCCCCAAAAAAAACCCGAATGCTGGTCTCAAACCTTTTATTTCAGATTTTGTCTCCCTAGGTGGAAACGTCTTCTTAAAACTGGAAACTGCGTTTCTAGACGGGAGTCCCACAAAATATTTAGAAAGCCTTACCCCATTGGAACATTCTAGCATCGGCAAAAATGAGTCCTGGTGGAAGGAAGCGCAGACCTGGTGCAAGACGAGTGACTCCTTCGATGCTTTATCGTCTGATGGAAATACAGAGAAAGAAAAAAACCACCGAAAAACCTGCCACCTGGTAAGAACAGGCGGTCGCTGTACAGTCAGATTCTCTTAACAGGAAATTTTACAAGCTGTTGTAAAGGCACCTAGTGTTTAAACCACAGAAACCGTTTTTTGCATAGGAACAAATCTGAGCAGCAACGCTGAGGTGGGTTGTGTCATATAGAAACCCAGCAAACAACATCTGGGTAAAATTCACTCCCACACAAAGGTATAGGGGGGTGGTCATGTCACAGCACTCTCCTCTCGCTCACCTGACTGGGAAATATACATCCTTGAGTATTGAGTTCTTAAGTGTCTTAAATTTATGTCTCCCAACCTTGGGCCTCCAAACGTTCTTGAACTGCCACTCCCGGAAGCCTTCACCACTAGCTCTGCTGGCCAGGATTTCTGGGAGTTGCAGTCCAGGAACATCTGGGGACCCAAGGTTGAGAACCACTATCTTAAACCATCGACACCCAAAAATAAACTGAGAAGTGACTGGACATCCATTTCCCAGTTCGAAAAACCCAAAGAGAGGGAAAAACAAGACACATGGAGACTCCCAAGAGTTGAAACGGCTTCGTGTTTTGTGGTGATGGGCTTCAGGAGAGTCTGAGCAGAGCCCGGGAAGAAAGAAAGGCCCTTAAAATTCAGGATGGTCTGTGGTTTGCAGGATTTCTATGCTTCTTTACAGTATTTCTTCAGAAAATAAGGAAGTCTCGGGCGAAAACTGAGCAGCGTCCAGCTGCAGAGACTCTGTAGATTTCCTGTTTCGAACAGGAAGTTGACGTTGTCTGGGAATAGAAGAAGTAGCTGTGTGATCCATTAGAGTGCTAATTTGGGTAACAACATAAATATCTGGGGATTTTGGACTAGAAGTATTAGACATGTGAGGCCAATATTAGCACTTTGGGGATAGAGTGTATTTCCTATCTCTGGCGTGAGACTCTCTGTCAGTCCACTTCCTGTTCTTTGGTTCCACTATTTGATAAAGAGGCCATGGGAAGACCAACAATCAGACTTTATCTGGGCTAAGTAATTAAGGTGTGCATCATCTTTTAAAAAATGAAAAAGCTTTCGACAGGTTGACGGGGCATGACGAGGTTACTGTATCAGAACGGTGGTTTTTGAGCCCTCTGCTTTCCAAACAAAAAAATAATTCTCTTCCCAAAGCGGTCCTTGTTAGTTCTAAAAGGGAGCTACCCAGCCATCGAATTTTTGGCCTCGGAAATCCAATCTGGAGAAAACACCGTAAGTCAGACAGATGTCTTTCTTCACCTAAGACGCCATTGCTTCGAACAGTGACTACGTTTGGCTCATATGTCAATGCGGTTGCGTGGTGGTGATTAGAGATGTAAAATTTCTGAAATTTCCATTTTTTTCTCTCTCTGTTTCTTTCCAGGAAAAAAAGAAGGAAGCTTTTGGAAATTTGACATCTCTAGTGGTGATACAGTACGGTCTTCCCTGAACTAAGCATCTTTATCTTCAAAGATAGAACATCCATACTTTTTTTGCAGCCTGGTCTACAAATCTGGATGGGTCCCACATATAATCTATGGGGGGGGGTTGGAGGATGTAATTTTGGATCATCCTTGTCGGCCCTTGGAGGTCTACCATGCTGTCCCTGTGAAAGTTAAGGTTTCCTGAGAAATGAGACTCAAGGAAAGTATTTTCGCTTGATATGCAGATATCTGCAGAGATGCACAGAAGGACTCGTCTCAGCTTGATGCACTGTCCTGGCAAGTGGTTTCAACCATGTTGTTATACAGATGCGAAACATCCGAATATTCATGTTCCAGGTTTCTGACAGCCTTGGAAAGGTTGGGAAGGGTTAACACCCAGTAGTCTGATGACTCACAGATATCAGCAAACCAGGCTCACGGAGGGCTTCTAAATCGCCAGCCAGAGCTTCCTTTCTCTGTTATGGTTCATCCTCTTTCTTCAGTTTTCCATGTGGAAGATGATCCCAAGGCAGCAGGGAACGAGAAACCACTAAGTAGAATCAGGGCTGTGAGGAACTTGTTTGTCTCCCAGATTACACTTCTCTGCTGGTTATCCAAATACGCCTGCTTGCATTTTTTTATTTTTTGGCTTCTTTTTACCACGTTTGTATTGTTTTTTAAAGTTTCGTCTCTGTAGTTTTTCTTCCTTGCATTAACAATTTTTTTGTTTTGAATGTGTTGGAACTTTAAAATCAATTAAAGTTGATTTTAGAAACAAGAAACCACTAAGTAGAATCAGGGCTGTGAGGAACTCGTTTGTCTCCCAGATTACACTTCTCTGCTGGTTATCCAAATATGCCTGCTTGCATTTTTTTTTTATCTTTTGGCTTCTTTTTACCACTTTTGTATTGTTTTTTTAAGTTTCATCTCTGTAGTTTTTCTTCCTTGCATTAACAATTTTTTTTTGAATGTGTTGGAACTTTAAAATCAACTAAAGTTTAATTCCTCCCTAGATATAATCCCGCTTGTCCATCCCCTCTCTGCCTAACAGAGAGTTTCCCAGTTAAGCAAAAGGAAAAGCAAACGATGGTTTTGGAGTTGTTAGTAGTAGTAGAAAACACCAGGCACAGTCAATCAAAATTATAAAAATGCTGACTGGTATTATATAACAAATACAATTATTATTATTATTATTATTATTAGTATTATTATTATTATTATTATTAGTATTATTATTATTATTATTATTAGTATTATTATTATTATTATTATTAGTATTATTATTATTATTATTATTAGTATTATTATTATTATTATTATTATCATCATCATCATCATCATCATCTGGGGGAACCACCTGGACCCTGTTGGGATGCTAAGTGTATTGTGGCTCAGGATCTCAGTGGCCCAGAGAAAGGTACCAGCTGAGAAAAAAAGCAAATCTACACCACTTTGCACAGACAATGCAAGGTGTTCAGTGTTTTTAGGGTCCATATTTTGGGTCAGTTTAGTGCATTTTTTAAAAATTACACCTCAGAATACAGCAAAGTTCATCACCAGCTAAATTCTTTTTGAGCCTTTCCAGGGATTGATCACAAGATGGCAGCATCTCTCTTAGAAACAGCTTGTTTCCTAATTTCAGATTTCAGGTGGTCACTCAGGGCAGAACCCAATTTCACGTGTGTGTTAAACACACCCTCACATCATTGGGCCCTTTTAAGGAGAAAGATGGGTTAAAACATTGTGAATAAATTAAATAAACAAATTGGTCTCTATCCACAGCCATATCTATATTGTAAAAAAAACCAACTGAAAATTTGGATGTTTGTGCAAGCCTTCCCTCCAGCGAATGCTTGATTTCTTTTTCCTTTTTCTTTTCCTTTTATATCTTTTTTTTCCTTTTCTTTCTTTCATCCTGAATAACTGCTCTATTGATTGTAAAAATTTGTTATATTTTATAAATGGTTTACATGTTGGCAGCCCCTTAGAGTGGTCGTTTGACCAGATAGGCCGGGTACAAATACAATCAATCAATCAATCAATCAATCAATCAATCAATCAATCAATAAAGTAGTCCAGCCTTGAGAAAAGAAGACTGAAGGGAGATAGGAGAGCATTTTTCAAATATTCACCCAGAAAAGAGGCAGGATGATTTCTTGATCATCCCAGAGTGCAGGACGTGTAATAATGGGGATTGTCCTGTGGATGATCAGGTGTAACAATCTGGGCATTTTGTTTCTTTGCATTGCTAAAATATTCTAACTTTTTGCATCGTCTGCGTTCCTCTGCCTTAGTACTTTTTCACTCATGGTCCAAGACATTTTAAATACCCTTCAATAAACCATGTTTTAAGTTTTTTGTGTACAGCAATGGCTTTTTACTGTAGCTTGTGTTAAAGCCCACGATTCACGGCCGTAGCGCAGATCAAAAATCTGTAACCCCCTCTAATACTTTCTCTTTCTCACATAAGCATAGAGGCCAGGATTCTATCAGCCGTTCACACTTGTGTCAAGGAAATGGTGTAAGCCAACATGGCAAATCTCATTAACAAGGTGTTTTGTTAATGACTGGCAATTTGCATGATTTCCTATGCCTGCATGAACAGCCAATAGAAATCTAGATAGCATATACATACATACACACTTACAAGATTGATTTACAAACAAATATTTCAGCAAACTGTTGCCCTGGTGAAAGCAAACTGTTTCTTACTTATGTTATTGCTATGTGCCATCAAGTCAGCATGGATTTACAGTGACCCTAATAGGGTTTTCAAGGTAAGCGAGCTATTTGAAGAATAACCATTTTACCTCCCCAGTGAGTTTTCCTAAATTTTCTCCCCAGTGAACCCCAACATCTCTCAACTCCTAGCCCATTACTCTGTGTGTGTGTGTGTGTGTGTGTGTGAGAGAGAGAGAGAGAGAGAGAGAGAGAGAGACCCACACACTTTTGTCTTTGTGTGTGTGTATCGATCTCTCTGTATGCACCCATTTATCAGTTTATCGTGGTGGCGCTGCAGGTTAAACCGCTGAAGCCTCTGTACTGCAGGGTCAGAAGACCTGTAGTCGTAAGACCAGATCCACATGATGGAGTGAGCCCCCTCTCTTGTCCTGCCAACCTAGCAGTTTGAAAGCATGCAAATGCAAGTAGATAGATAGGTACCACCACGGTGGGAAGGTAACGACGTTCTGTGTCTAGTCGCGCTGGCCACGTGACCACGGAAGATTGTCTTCGGACAAACGCTGGCTCTATGGGTTGGAAACGGGGATGAGCACCGCGCCCTAGAGTCGGACACGACTGAACTAAATGTCAAGGGGAACCTTTACCTTTACCTTTGTAAACCAATTCTGAAAATAACAGGTTATGAAAACAATACGCAGTTAAAAACAGGAAAAAAATGAGTATGTAAGTCAAGATTCAGTGATGCCTGTGGGAATCTCTAGGCTGACTTCTTCTCTAGCTCAGCTTTGATAAAGGGGGGTGGCCAGGAGGAGAACCTGCGATTATGCAATGTTGGCACTGAGACCAAGCAAACACAGCATATCTTTATCAATAGTCCTATCCCACCCTCGTAGAACTTCACTATTCCCTCTCCTTCCATTAATACTTGGGATGATTATATGAATTTTACCCAGGAGAGCTTCCTGTCCCTGCCCTCACGTCCACAATGCTGGACAGCTATAATTCTGAGCTCTAACCACCCTCCCCTCCAGCACAGTATTCTCCTT